CCCTGTTAGCCAGGATGGTCTTCATCTCCTGACCTTGTGATCTGCCCACCTCGGCCTCCCAAAGTGCTGTGATTACAGGCGTGAGCCACCGCACCCGGCCTAAGATATTCTTTAGAATTTTCTACAAACATTATCAAGTCATCCACAAATAAATACAGTATATTGATTTTGTATCATATGAAATTAGTAAATGATTTATTTGTTCTGGTAGCTTTTAAAAATGCATATTCATTAAGATTTTCTGCATGTATTATCATGTCTGTAAGCAAGACCAATTTTCTTCCTTTCCAATTTGGATTCCTTTAATTTGTGCCTTTATTAGAAACTTACTAAAAACTTGAATAGGAGTAGTGAAAAAAGAAATATTCACTGCATTCCTTATGTTATGTGGAAAGCACTCAATCTTTCACTGTAAAGAAAGATATTAGCTAGAGGTTTTTCCCATATCCCTGTACCACTTAGAGAACATTAGCTTCTATTCCACATTTAAAAAAAAAAGGTTTCATCATAAATAAGTGCTACCTTTTGTCAAATGTTTTCTGAATCTATTGAGATAATTATGTATTGTGCCCCCCCTTTATTCTATCAATACTTGTATTACATTGATTAGCTTTTATATGTTAAACTAACTTTGTATTTCTGAGGTGAATCTCACTTGGTCTTCAATTATAATCATTTTTACATACTGCTGAAATTAGATTGCTAATTTTTTGAGGATTGTTACATTTATGTTCAGGAGGGATATCGATGTATGTTATTTTTTATTTTTTTTTTAGTGTCTTTGTGGGGATTTTGTATCAGAGTTATACTGACCTTACAAAGTGAGTTGGAAGTGTTTTCTCCTTCTCTATTTTCTGGAATAGCTTGCGTATGATTGGTATTTATATTTACTCTTTAAATATTTGGTAGAATTCACCAGTAAAGCCATTTACACCCGGTCTTCTCTTTCCAAAGAGATTTTTACATTAAAGAGTCAATATATTTACTTCCGATAGGTCTATTCATATTTTCTATAAATCAGTTCTTGAGTCAGTTTCAGTAATTGATGGTTTTCTAGGAATTTTTTTTCCATTTAATATATGTTGTCATATTTTTGTCAAAAAGGTGTCTCAACATTTTCTTAACATATTTTACGGTATGTGTAATGATGACCCTTCTTTCATCCCTGAAAGTGGTAAGTTGATATCCTCTCAGTTATCGACTGAATGTCGGTGTTCCCCTAAAGTTCCCTTGTTGAAATCTCACCCTCAGCACGATGGTATTTAGAAGTAGGATCTTTGAAAGATAATTAGGCCATGAGGGTAGAGCCCTCATAAATGGAATAAGTGCCCTTATAAGAAGAGGGCAGAGAAGTGTGTAGCTCTTACTTCACCAGCGAATATAGGGAGAAGTTGGCCGTCTTCAACCCAGAAGAGAGTTCTCACAGCACCTGCTGGGACTCTGATAGTGGACTTGCAGCCTCCACAACTGTGAGAAATATGCTCCTGTTTTAAAGCCAACCAGTCTATAGTACCATGTTGTAGCAGTTTAAACTGACTAAAATATTCCTTTTTTGCATAGTCAGTCTAGCTAAAGTTTTATCATTTTAAAAAATATTTTTCAAAGTCAATGCTTGGTTTTATTAATTTTCTCTATTTTGTGTTCTATTTTATTTTCACTCTGTTCCTTTATTAGATATTCTTGATACAATGTTTGGATATAATTTGTTCTTCCATTTCTAGTTTCTTAATATAGAGCTTAGATTATTTATCTGAGACCTTTCTTTGTGTGTGTGTGTGTAAAGCTATAAATATTCTTCTGAACATTGCTTCAGCTACAAACCATAATTTTATGTTGTTTTAGTTTCATTCAGTTAAAATTCCTTTCTAATTTTCTCTTTGGTATCTTCATTTATCTTTTTCTTACTTAGAAATGAGTTGTGTTATTTCCAAAACTTTGGAAATTCCCAAATTTTTTTTCTCTTGTTGATTTCAAATGTATTCCATTTTGTTTAGAGAACATACTTTGCATGATTCCAGTTCTTTCAAATTTATTTATAATTTTTTTGTAGAACATCATATGGTTTATCTTACCCAAAGTTACAGCAGTTTTTCATAAATAAACATTTCTGAATGTGTTACTTTGATTTAGAAAATTTCCAGAGCTCTGAAATGATTGTTTTTGACAATTGATTTAGTTCCCACTTGCTTTTGGGGGAGAGGATTTGCCTATCTTATTACTCTGCAATAGCCAGAAGTCCAACCCCAATTAAATTATGTAATTTAAAATTTTATAGGGCCTTGATGTTTGACTGGCATTTGATTTTTCCCAGTAGGTGGTAAGCTCTTTAGATTCATATTCATCTTTGTGTTTTACATGGCACCTATCACAGGGTTCGCAAATTCCTTAACTTCAGTGATTGGCTTTCAAATGCACTTTTCCATTAGAAAACTCATTGAATGACTGAACAGATTCATACAAAATGGCAATTTTAAAAAGATCTCATATTGTCATTCTTTCTTTCATTGATCAAAAAAGGAATTTCCACCATTTTAACATGCATCGATTAGAAAGTAATAATTTGTTAAGAGGTTTATCAAAACACTTGTTTTAATGCTAGAAAACTGTTGAGTGAAGATCAGCATAGCAATCTCAGTATTCACTGAATGAAGTTTAAAGGGATATTACCAATTTCTGCTGGGAGCATTTTAACAACAGGCAATAGCTTTAATAGTAGCGAATTTAAATCTGATACTACTTTTTACAGTATATGTTTTAGGATAATGGTTCATAAAGCACAGAGCCTAGAGGACCAATTTCCAAGCCAAAGTGGGAGGTGGGGCTCACTAGGGCTGTATTATTGTTTACTTTTATATTTGAGTCTCAGTTATTACTTTCAGATGTTTGTAAGAGCCACCTTTGCTTCTCTCACTCAGGCTGTTTATAAAAGTTTCCCTGTACAGTTTTATCTAATCTCCAGTAATATATATGCTGAATTCTTTAATCTTTTTGACTTTTTCATGATAAAAAGTCACACACTTTAATTCCATTTTCAGCAAAAAAATAATTCAATTAAAGTTGTATACAAAAATTATTCAGAGAAAAGTATTCAGAGAAAAATTGCCTTTAATTTTAACCTCATTTTCCCTAATGACACTGGTTAAAATAAAATAGGGTGAAATCAAGCTAATTAAGTACATACGTAAATAAAATCATGACTGTTCTTGAGACTCTTGGTCAGATAGCAGATCTACTGGTCTTACAGTTAGTAACCATGCTCCTTAGGGTGACAGAATGGAAACAGTCCCTCATTTAGTCTAGCCAAAATTTCCATAGTAAATTAATTTGCAGACTTTCTTTGTAAAATAGTGTTGGAGAATGTATGAGTGACCTTATATAAGTCCATTATGTTTTATTATGTTTACAGAAACAACAAAGATGTAGTACTAAACAAAGATAAAAGCAGAGGAGTTGTATTACTTTTAAAATAATATTGGCTGGGCGTGGTGGCTTGCACATCTGTTAGCTCAACACTTTGGGAGGCCAGGAGTTTGACATTAGCCTGAACAACATAGTGAGATCCCGTATCTATTGAAAAAAAAATTAGCTTTGCCTAGTAGTGCATGCCTGTTGTCCTAACTGCTGGAGAGGCTGAGGCAGATGGGATTGCTTGAGCCCAGAATTTGGAGATTGCAGAGCTATGATTGCACCACTGCACTGCAGCCTGGATGATGGGGCAAGACCCTGTCTCTAAAATAAATAAGCCTGGCACTGTGGCTCACATCTGTAATCCCAGCACTTTGGGAGGCCAAGGCGGGTCAATCAACTGAGGTCAGGAGTTCAAGAGCAGTCTGGCCAAAATGGCTAAATCTCACCTCTACTAAAAATACAAAAATTAGCCAGGTGTGGTGGCACGCACCTGTAATCCCAGCTACTCGGGAGTCTGAGGCATGAGAATCACTTGAACCCGGGAGGCGGAGGCTGCAGTGAGCTGAGATTGCTCCACTGCACTCCAGGCCTGGGTGACAGAGCAAGACTGTCTCAAAAAAAAAAAATATATATATATATACACAAAAAATATATATATATTTATTTATATTTAATTACCTAATTAATTAAATAAAATATTATTGATGAGCATTATGTTATTAATTTCCATTTATAGTCTTGCTTATTAAAATTATTTAGAATAGTTTTCTTCACAATTCCCATTTTGCCCTTTGTTTTGAGGTGATGTAAACAATATCTCTACTTACATAGTTTTTAACTCATATGTTATCTGACTGGTTCTCCAGCTAATACCAATAGTTTTAAAACTATTTCTCTAATGTCTTCATCACACATGCCAGTTGTTACCATAATCCCAGAGACGCAGAGAATCAGCTGTAAATGGTAAGAATGATCTTAAAAAGTGAGGATTTAAACTTTTCATAGCTTGGAGGGTTATTTCTCAAACCTCCACCCTATTCCTGGGATGTGGCCTTCTTCTGCCTGTGATATCTTTGTACCAAATCACATTACTTCCATGGGCACATTTCTCAAAAACCAGAGAGAAGTGCACAGATTCTGGTCTTCTTCTTCACCTCATTTCTTCCAAAACTATTGGTTCAAAATCTCTTCTCTGATTGTAGTTCTTGGGAGAAAATTTTCATCTTCCTTTACTAAATTCAACTCTCAGTTTTTTTTGTTTTGTTTTGTTTTTCCTTTTCAAAATAATGAAAACATCTACAAACATTTTCAAGTCACCATTTGTACCAGTTGTGCATATGATAAAAATCTCCAGGTTTTTAAAAAGTTATATAAAAATAAACTCACTTACACTAAAACTGGTAATTTGGAGTTTTATTGATTGAATAGGGATTATTTTAGACGTGGATGATGAATACAAGCACACCAAAATTCCAAGGATTGGCTATTAGTAATATAGTTCATATTTTGGAAAAATCTGAATTTTATATACATTTAAATGCTTGCTTTTTCTTCCTGTATTCCCTCCATGACACGAATAAATAAAGCATTAAAATGAAAAATGCCTTTTATTTAGATTACCATTCAAATTTGTATCTAGTTCTGTCTTCCATTCACATTTTTCTGTAAAACTCATGAAACTTTCTTAGCCAGAATCTCACAGCAGTTTTAGCAACTTTTCTAAAAAACAAAACAAATAAATAGACAAACAATAAAACTTCACAAATTTTAATGGGGCCATACAAACTCTAAAAGGTGAAAAGACATTTACACTATCTAGTCTATTATCTAGCTTTTAAAATCCACCAGAGGTTATATGTTTTGCTCTAAGTCACACTGCTGGCTAAATTAGAAACACAGCTAGAATTCTGGCATTCTGACCATGAATCCAGGGCTCCTTCCGACTGAATTTGCAGTTCTGGCTTTGAGTCCAAAAAGACTAAGTGATATCCTGGAAATACATCAGATCTGCAGAAATGTGCATGACTTCAATGAAAATATTTGTTCAGGCTGTGCAGGGTGGCTCACGACTATAATCCCAGCACTTAAGGAGGCAGAAGCAGGAGGATAGCTTGAGCCCAGGAGTTAGAGACTAGCCTAGGCAACATAGCAAGACCCCAGTCTCCACACAAAGGAAGGCAAAAACAAAACAATAAAATATTTGTTCAGAGGGCAAGGAGCAAAAGATATTGGTGAACTCCTTTCCTTTGGAAATAACATATTAAGTATCTTGTGTATTTTCACCCAGCATTGGTATGTCATGATTCATCTGGTGCTAAATAAGTTAGATTGGTGCTAAGATGCACACGGTGAAGCTTAAAGAAAACATGAAAAGGACATCAGGTCTTTCCAGGCAAGGAAGCTCCTTTTCGTCCATGAATGGCGCTTTGAGCCTCTAGATACATTCATCTCCCTCATTGCTTTAGCTACAAAAGGTCTGTTATTGGAGGATTGTCCCAACAAGTGTAAGGCACCGTTTAATGAAGGAGAACAGGAACAGCTTGATCGCATTCCTCTGCCACTAACACTTTGCTCTGGTTATCTCTGTGGAATTTTTTCCCAAGAAATCCTTTGGCTGAATGTGGAGGAACAGAGGGGAAGGACTTGGGGCTGTTGCGGCAGTGGAGCCCCGCCTCTGCAGGTTTCGCCCACACTATGGACATGCTGTGCAACCAGGGGTGAGGGTGTCCTGGCTTCCACGCCCACCACCATATTCCCCTGTCCCTTGCAACCTGGTCTTCCTGCTGTGGCTACTAACGTCTGTTGCCTCCCTGCTCATCGCTGCTCCTCACACACGTGAGGTTTTGGAAGTTGTCATGCTGGATATTGTTAAGTTGTTGATCCTTCCAAGAGCAGCTGCTGCGCTACCATTTATAAAAGGCCAGGAAGACTCCGGCTCCCTTTGTCCAGCACATTCTGATTGTGGTCAATCCCAACAGAAACACATGTAGTGAAATGAAGGCCGGGTATGTGGGTCTTTTCCTATGCTGCAAAATGGATTCATTGTTCTGTGGAATTTGAGCCTGACCAGGACAGCAGGACTTAGAAGCCCCAGGACTGAAAATAAACTCCACAGTCTTCCAGATTCACAGGGGTCAGGACAGGAGGAGACATAGAAGAATCTCATGTTCCAAAGACAAACTCTCCTGCCACCAAATACCCACATTCTCGGAAGTCAAGAGTATTTGGACGTCTCCCAGTGCCAGACTTGCTTGCATTTCACATCTGGGCATGGTGTTGCCCCAGGGCTAAGATAAACTCATGGTGGGGAAGTCCTGGGACACCGAAGTGTTCAAGAAATATCTTTTCTCATTCAGGAATTATTCCCCTATCAAATCCCGGGAATTATTTTGGGAGTCAGACAGAAATTTAAGTCTCATCATCACGACTGCCTTCACAACCACCACTGCCATAACCGGTCATCCAAATGACTTGCCCAAAGCCACACAGCTGAGACATTCCAGGCCAGGACAACCACGCAGGCCCCGGACCCTGGGCCCTGTGCTCCCTCCTCTTCACATCGTAAGTTAAAGGGACATTCGTTATTTTTAGATGATCCAAGGGTGGATGTGTAGGAAGATAGTTGAGAAAATATGCATTAGGCCAAATTTTATAAGTATAAATTGATTAAATAATATAATAAAAATTTAAATATATATTCAGAGATATATATGAGAAAGAGAAACAGAGATGATAGAAATGATGAAGACAGAGACAAGGTAATATGACTCTAGGAGACCAGGGAAGGTCACAGATCTCAAAACATGACCTCTCAAACTGCTGGCTGCAGGTTGTAATTCAATTATTCATTCAGCAAGAATGTATTTATCAAGTTCTTAAGATTAAAGTGATAAACATGATTCAGTTCCAGCCCTGGAGAAGTTCAACATTTGGAAGGAGCAGAGGCTAGTATTAAGTATCGTGGATGCCTAGAGGAGAAAGAGATGTCTTCTATTTTGGGCATAGACATTGGTGAAAATCCCAACTTTGTCAGTAAAATGTATCATTTTTAAATGTTGTCAATCATTCATCTCTACATATGGCAATGAAGGACAAAGACTCTGGATGAAGTATAGCAAGAGAAACTATTATAATAGAGCCTTCAAGAAGGAATAAAACTTGGGATATGGGAAAAGATAACATGAGCATAGGAGAGAAAGTGCTGGCTCTCAAAGCAAATTTTATTCATTTGTATGAAGGTCTGACAGGGACGATGAAGATGAGTCATGAAGATAAGGGTGAGTCACCAAGTTTTCAAAGATAACTTTGAAACACATGTCAAGTTTTATAGAAAAACCATACTCTAGTGCAATAATGGAGTCAATAGATCCCTGGTTCAGCACGGCAGGTCTAAGAGCATACTTAATGTATTCATTAAGTAAACATTTATTGAATAGATCTGATATATCAAGAACATGACCAGCATGAATGTAAAGGGATGAACAAGACATAATAACTGTACTTATGAGATTCAATGTGTGGTGGCCAAGCCAATAGTCTAGGAGCTAAAACTAACCTTTGTTCAATCTAGGACTCCAGGACCAGATGCCCATCATGGAAAGCAGTTGTGCTTGCCTTCCCACAGTGAAATGCAGTCGTACATACAGGACACGGTTCATGTCTCCTAGAGTGGTGATAGATGAAGACTAAGGTTTCTCTGCCTCCATGTTAATGCATCTTCCTGTTAGGCATCTATCACTGTCAGCATCAATTGAATTTTTTCTGAACTTGCCATGTATCCATCAATACTTCTGAGCATTGCCTGCCACCGCCTACTCTTCTTTCACCATTATGTTTCATTATTATGCCCTACCTCCTACTACCTAAAATCCCCTGAGACTTGCTTTCTCTATTTATTGCAACAATGTCACTGCCACCGCCCAAGTCCAGGCCCTAGTCATATGGCTCACACATTATCAGCCACAGCCTTCTAGCTTGCCCCCTCCCTCTGAGTCTCATATCACCAAATATATCTGAGAAACCGTTGCATAAATGATCTTTCTAAACAGCATACCTAATCGTGTTTCAGCCCTGATGTAAATTCACCAGAGACCTCTTCTTCTCCTGTCTCCTCTCATACACCCTAGCTTGAGTGTCCCGTGCATACTCTCCATCCTAGCGCATGGCTTTGTGGACAGACTCTACTCTGGTCTCATCACCTCCATGCACCATTCTCTCCAGTTTTGCTTCAATATTTGCTGTTCCTTGCTCATTGGCCTTTATACAGGCCATTTACACAACTAGAATGCCCTTTCTTCTCCTTCATCCAGCAGCTGACACCTACTTCTACATCAAATCTAAGAACAGCTCACTTCTTTCAGAAGTTTTTCCCCTACTGGCTAATTTAAATGATTACAGGCTTACATGATATCCAAGTGGATAAGGTTATTATAAGTTTTCCTCACTGCTTTGTATTTACTACTATATTTCTCTTGCTTCCCACTAAATAGTCAAAAAGTAGTTGATAGAGGGAATAAAGGGTAAACAAGTGAATGAGAATCTTGTCATCTCTCCTCCCTTGTTTTGCTTTAATTTATTTTCAAATTGGAGAAGGGAAAAAAATGATTCCTTAAAAACAAACCAAAAAATGCCCTTAAAAATGAGCAGAGAAATTCTACCCCTCGAATCCCACCCTACTCTAGAAAGCTGAGAAAATGTAAGTATTCATTGTTTGGAGGAATATTCTCTTCCTTTTCCTGTCTCCAGTGGCTCGTTTTCCTGAAGAAGGTCAATGGACCGCATGGGGCCATTCAAAGCCAGCCAAGGTCACATGGATGGGGTTTGCTGGCTTCATCTCAGAGGATCTCCGGTTGAGTTGAATAAAGTTGCAACTTTATACATTTGGCTCATGCAAAGTCTTTTTAAAATAAGACTCTTCCATCTGAATTTCAAAACTTATGCATATAGGACTTCCCCATTCCCTAAAGACTCTTATTTCTAGCTGAGTTCCAACATCACTTGTGCTCACAGGATGCATAAAACAAATTATCCTTCTGGTCCACACCCTGAATTTCACAGAATTAGACATTTTTCCTGTCTCCTAGGAAGATGCAAAATTTATTACATCCAGTTCTCAGAAATACATACAGTTAAGCAAGTCATTTTCTATTTTGTATCTTTCTAATTCCTACTGGTACTTCTTGAAGCCTCCAATGAGGCAAATCTTCATAATAACTTTAATAAAATCTTACTACCCCATATTTTCCTCATGTTACTGAGCCATGATAAACTGCAATGTAACTGAGTGAAATGGAGAGTCGGTTGAGGTGGGCATGGTAGGGAAGCATCAATGTGCTTTCTGTGCTCTCTTGTTCAATTATCCTGCAGGGGAATTCTCTAATCACGGCATATTCAGCTTAAATAATAGAAAAATGGAAAACTTTACCTAGAGAGGGTGAATGAATCATCTCATACAATAATTTTGCTTTATAAATGAAAAAAACCAAACAGAGAAAGTAATTTGTCTGTGACTACAGTCACTGGCAAAGCTAGATGCAGGATCTTGACTATAAGTATTAATATCACTAATTTGAGAGGTCCAGGAAGATCCTAACATCCTGAAAAAAATGTTCTGGGAGATATGTATGCATAGTAAGGATTTTGGCTTCATCCATTTCAAAAAGCTCGAGACAGTAAAAAATGTTGAGAGTTATATTCAAAGATCCTGTAAGCTCAAGGAGTCTCTTATTCTACAAAACATTCTTTGCACCTGTGTTATCTCTAGTATAAGTTCAGAAGAAGAAAAAAAACAAAATTTTCCTTTTTTCCCCCAAACACAAGTCTTATTTCAATTGAATTTCTTTCTTCCTTAGAACTTATAGATAAGCTTTCGCACAACAAAATAGTTCAAGGAACTTTAAGTTTTTCAATAGATTCACAAGTAGGTTTTATTTCTACCTTCCTTTAAGAAAATACGTAGCAGTATTCAAATCTTTGTGACCATCAAATTTTACCATATTGGGAAATTTTTGTCTAACAGTAACTCTATTAAGTGCATTGCCCAGAAGACCACAAAATTCCTAATATGCCAGTCCAGATAGACTCATAGCATTCATAGCATTATAGATGAAGCTGAGAGGACTTCAATTCCCATCTAGTGAAAGTCTCCACTGTTAGAAATAACAATGACTTCCAAAGGGGAGTGACTTGGAGAAGAGTATATTGTAGCTAGTGGCCAAGGAGCCCAGGACTCAAAAAAAAAAAAAAAAAGAGGCCAGGTGGGGGCATTATATGAGTTTTGGGACTCATGATGTTAATGCTTCTTGGTACTCCTTCAACATTGGTAAAACATACAGTAGGCATTAGGTGAGGTTCAGGCATGGACCATGATATCATGGATGGAGGGACGAACAAAGAACTGTTCCTCTCCTTGGACTCATAAATGAATGAGAGAAAATAGGTTTCTTCTAGAATATCTGTTGAAATATGAAGTGTCTCAATTTTCAATATGTGTCTCTACAATGACCCAGATGTTCAGAACAACTTTCATTAAACCCTGCTAACTCAGATTCAGTTTGCCCCAGAGACCATGATAAAGATGAAGACGATGGTTGAGTATATATTATTGGTAACAAGAAACAGTATTTTTATACACTGAAGTCACCTAACATCTCACTTTTTTTATCTTTATAGGTCAAAAGTGCTTTCATCCAGTGGAAATAATGACTTCATATTGCAGAAAAAAGGAAAGATGACATTTGGTTTGCTTTATTAAAGACTTAGTCTATTAATTATAAATGAACCTTTGTACACGGTCACTGAGAGGCAAAGTGTAATGTGACTTTTATATCCAAGAAAGCATGAAAACATCAACATGACTGTTGGCCCTGTGAGATGGAGGTCTCAAATCTGTAGTCTGGTTAACCCTCTTCCTTTAATGTTGCTTTAATGTTTTCTCTTTATTTATTACTTACGAAGCCTCTTGCACACCAGGTAGTCTGCAGAGGCTAGAAAATCAGAGATGAATAAAACTTGATGCATATCTTCAAAGTGCACAGAGAAGGCTGGAACCAGTGGTGAATCTTTGCACAATGAAGAGGGAGGTGGTCCTACCTGGGAGTGTGCTGGGGAAGTTCTGTGCATGAACATGTGAGGGGTTCTGTAAGAATTACCACCTGCTCACCAAATCCTACCACATCCTGTAGCTCAGGTGAATTCTCCAAATGTATCTAGGATACCTGGATGATATTGAGGAAAATTATAAAAGAATGCTGGAACGCAATTATATATGCAATTGTGTGCTACTCAGATACCTTCTTACATTAGACTCTGGAGTAAATTAACCAGGGGCGGTTTGCAGAACCCCTGATTTGAGATAAAATGTTGTAGCCACTAGCACTGCCCCTCATGCCCCAATTGTGAAAACTTCTCTCATGTTGCAGAAGATGGGAGAGCAGTGTCTGATGGCAGTATGCTATAGGAAGTCAAGCAGGCTGGTATGGTTATAACCAGAAGCCAGGTCACACACAACCAGGTGGTGAATACTCATCAAAACAGGGACAACCATGGCTTGACACTAAGGAGCCTCTGAGTGGAATAAGAGTAATCATTGCAATCTTACCAAGTTCAGAGGTCAGCACACAATGATCTTGATTTCAGCTGGAGCTATACATCATTCAACCAGCCACTGATCATGCCTCATTTTATCAATGCTGAGAGCAAAGAAATCCTGCCCATCATAAAAGACAAGGCCCTATCTCAAGATTTTAAAATCTAGCTTGGATACCAATCTAGGGAAAAAGTAGCATCTCCCAAACATCCTTTCCCCTTCCTTGAAATCTCTCTTGTTCCTCTTCTGATTCTTGTTTCTTTCTGCCTTTCTATTCTAATGATTTTCCCTAATTTTACACCCAGGAATAATTATTATATTAATAGTTTCTATTATAATAAAAGCTAACATTTTTCTAAGTGCTTACTTTGCACCAGACTCTTTCTGAAAAGCTTTGAGTATATTGGTCCATTTAATCCCCATAATAAAGTTAGAAACTATTTTAACCAGTCATATATTTTACTTCCAATATGAATCATTCAGAAGTGAAATGACTTGCCGAAAGCCACATAGTGATTAAGCAGGGGAGCTGGCCTTCAGATCCTGCAACCTCACCTTAGAGCTTGATCCCATAAGGACTGCTGTCCTCTCTGCTCACTGCCTTGTCCTCACAGCCCAATTTCGTCACACGTGTGTTACAGCTGACTCCAGTAGGAAATCCAGCTTCTCTTTGGCCCATATGATGTTTAAAACACCTCTTAAAGGTTTTGCCTTTTGTGTGAGTCCTGTCATTTTTGATGGTCCCAGGAATGGCCAGTATGACTCTCCACTCTGCTTGGCTCAAGGTTGATTTTTCATGACTCAACATGGAATCACCAATAATGTCTTTGTGAACTGTCCATAATAAAAATTAGGAGGGTCTTTAGAAAGATGTGGCTTTTATTAGGTTTAAGAATGACAAAATATTAAAATCAAACCTAAATTACTGTTCATGTTATAATTTAAATTTTGGGAGATGTGGTAGGGGCTCCACCATCTAATCTAAACTATTTCTCTCCAATTGAAAGAGGAAACTTTTTGCAATCCCAAATGGCTAATTTCATGATACTACAGAGAGTCTTACACCTTCTTTTTTTTTTCTTTTTTGAGATGGAGTCTTGCTCTGTCGCCCAGACTAGAGTGCAGTGATCTCGGCTCACTGCAACGTCTGCATCCCGGGTTCAAGTGATTCTCCTGCCTCAGCCTCCCGAGTAGCTGGGATTACAGGCGTGCACCACTACTCCTGGCTAATTTTTATATTTTTAGTAGATACGGGATTTCGCCATGTTGGCCAGGCTGGTCTCGAACTCCTGACCTCGTGATCCACCCACCTCCGCCTCCCAAAGTTCTGGGATTACAGGCGTGAGCCTACACCTTCTTTTTATGGATAGACACACAGTAGTGACAATGATACTGAAAGACTTAGGTCCATCTGAGTTTCAAACACATGGCCAACTAAAATGGGAGAAAACATTTTCTGGGTCCACCTACCCCAGGAAGGGGGCTCATGAATGTGAGAAATGTTTCCGAGAAAATTTGCTAATCAGCAAAGCAACAAAATAGTAGGTGGCCAAGGTCTCTGGCAACAAGCCAAATCCCTGGAAAGAATCATTCACACTTAACGCTGGAGAGGTCATCAAGTCCAACCTTCCAAATTTGCACCCTCTTACTCACTATGATCATTTCCTCCTGGATCTTAGGAATCTTCTTCTCTAGCTTCAGCTTGAAAAAACAATAGCAGTGAGATGTTGACCAACTCCTATGCCCACCTGCTCTCTTTGTGCCTTTAGTTGTTGAAGTATTTATCCATCAATAACTACATATAATAGGTGATATATAGATGAAATCCGACTCTCTAAGGATTCCACCTGCTTGTGATGATGGGTACATCACACCTCCCTGTATTTTCTGAAAGACAGCCATTCACTTTGTCAAACAGTCCTTCCTACCATGTTATGTCTAAAAGGATCTCACCAGGGCTGCTATGCTGTCATCTTTAACTTCATAAGCTCTTCTGTTATGCGTCTTCTACCAGTTTGTAAGGCCTCTGGAGACAAATAGCAGACCCTCGGTTTCTTTCTTTCTGCAGTGCCCAGCAAAAAGTTTGCCTCGACAGATTTGTCTTAAAACCAACATGGTAGAGTAAGAAGTTCCCTATCTCAAGATCTAGATGCTAATTCTGACTCTAGCTCTGGACGGACAGCTATGAGTAAGTCTCTTGCATTTCTTGACTTTGTATAATATTTCAAAGACTAGAAAAGCAATGAAGATTGGAAAAGCAAGAGACTTACCCACAGATTTTAATGGTAGAGAAGGAGATGATGAAGACAGTTATGTTAAATGTTCTCTGTGAACAAATATCAGGGTCATTGAAGTCGGTAGATGTGAAGTCTGGTTTTGAATCTTACATCTGCAACTTACTGACTGCAAATAAAATGACAATCTCCCTGAATCTCATTTTCCTCAGTTTTAAAATCAAAGTATTTGTAGCGTTTATGACACGAGATTGTTTTGAAGATTAATTACATGAGGTAACATATATAATGGGCTTAGCATAATACCTGGCATATAGTAAAATGTACGATAAATGTTAGCTATTTTAAGACCTTTAAGATGTGGAGGCTAAGAAGCATTCTCGTGAACAGTTCTTGCCAGATGGTTTCCTAACTCTAGGTTTGGCTGTTTCTTGGGAATGTGTTCGGTGAAAAAAAAAATTCAACAAATCAGTTAACAAACATTCACCAATACTTTCTACACTCAACAGAATGTTTCAGGCACTGTGCATGATCCAACAAGAATAAGACGTCCTCTCCCTGGAAGAGATAATTTAATTAAGAAGATAAAGCAACACATGAAAACAAAACTAAAAATTCAAAGTAATAATGGATTCTCAATGGGTAATACAAGCTCTGTTTCCTAAAGGACCACATGCTCTGTTTCCTAAAGGAGCACACTCTTTCCAGCCCAGATTGTTAGGAAGAGCTCCTTAGGGGAGGGGAGGTTTAAGTTGACATTATTTCCACCTCCACAGTAATAAAACATTGTCTTCTCAATTCCACCAAAATAAAATCAAAATAAAGACAATACGAGCTCCTTCTTCTGCATGTCTTCTCTTAGCAAATAGCATCATCACTTACCTAGAATTCCAAGGAGAAGGGCTTCCCAAAACCCTCTTTCCCTCAACTACCATGTCTATTTGATCATGAACATCTTCAGCACCTAGAGCTGAAAATACTCAAATCTGGGTCCTTCTTCTGAAATCCACTGTGGCAATTGAGGTTCCATTGCTACTGGGTCTCTGATATTTCTTCTTCATCATTCCCTTTCTTTTACTTCCACGTCTCCCCAGTCCATTTGTTCAGGTGATGACCATTGTGGTCTTTTCCCCAAGGAATGAAGGCTACAGGACAATGACTGTTGTGCCTGCCTCTTGGCATCTGGAGGATGGATGGTTTTATCCCAGTCATACCACAGCTGTGAACTGTCCTCTGATTATCACGCTCTTTCTAATCTCCATGGTTTCTCACACCAGGAAGCCCTTTTCTCCTATTTCTCCGTTAAGAACACCCACCATCCTGTATCTTAAAAGACACGTAAGAGGTATCGCATCCTTCAGAATTCCATTCAGTGTTTCCCCTTCCAGGAATCCTGTGCCGACACCTTCCCAGTGTGAATCAGGTACTCCTCCTCTAAGCTAGTCCAGCTCCATGGGCTGAGCTCAGGGATTCCTCCTAATTATACTGAAATCATCTATGTCTATCTGACTTGTCCACAGATAAAGCTTCTTCTTCTTTTTTTTGTTAAAGGAAAAAAAAGAAGACAAATCATGGTTCATCTATTTCTGTGTCTCTTGTGCACAGCATAACACAGTCTTGAGAAATATTGGTTGAAATTGAGTGAATGTACCTACGTGACTTTGAAAGATAAATAAAATTTGATTAAATTTGCCAAATACAAGAAGTCTCTACAAGAAAAAGGCGTGGTAAAGATGCAAAGATGGCTAGATGTCTCCAGTGATATTAAGCAATATCTGTCCCAAAATACAGAGCCTCATCAGCCAAGTGATTTGCCTTCAAAACTGTAAATATCAAGAAACGCTGAACCTAGGTCTCCCTGCTTTGCTTAACTGAGAGTAAAGTTGCTTATCTTTTTTATTATTAATCCATGTTGAATGTTCTTCTCTTTCACCTCAGCCCCTCACAGCTCCTCTAAAAGCCTAGATCTTGGTGTGGAGTCCCCGATATGTATAGTGGCTCCTTGCACTGTTGATATTATAATGGAGTTGTGGGGGAGTGGGAGGGTGTGCAACAGAATGTAGCAATGATTTGAACATCCCTTTATCCTTTTCCATCTCATAAAGAACATTTTTCGGTATACAAATATGATAATCCTATCTACTGACCAAAGCGGAAGCATTTTCAATGCTGCACAAATTAAGAAAGAGAATCCTTTGAAAGAAGTCTGTTTTTCAGGGTAAAAGTAAGACAACCAGCTACTGCCCAGGAAAAAAATATATATCTGTAGTAGTTTTTAATATTGGTTTGATGAGATCTAGGTTATAAACAGGTCTGGTGCCATGTAATTTGCAACGTAATTTCACTGTCTGTTTATCTATCCATCCGTCCACCCATTCATATGTATATAACATAGGCAGGAAATCTGGTGTCTGTTGCTAGTTCATAAATCAGTGTCTGCTCTCAACAACATCTGAATACAAATGTGATTAAATTTGATACCATGCCCATTTTTCATTTATCAGATTTTAGAATGTGATGCCGTGGCAGCTGTCCTATGGTAATGTGTTTTGCATTTAACCCCCTGAGTTCCAACTTCTTTCAACATATGAAGCCCTTGCAGAGACATTAGAAATTCACAGAACAAGACACCTACTCTGCCTATCACAGAGAAAGTTTTCCTCAGCATATCAAGGAATGAAGAGAGGGGAAAGAGCTGGAAATAACATTAGAAAATTGAAGGAAACCTCAGAATTGCTGTGTTTCTCACCTGCAGATGACCTTAGAGATGGTCTAGCCCTGTGCTTCACAAAGTTTTCTGTCTACACATCACATGGGGCTCTTGTTAAAGAGCAGATGTGGGTTCAGTAGGTCTGGACTGGGCCTGGGATTCTGCATTTTAATCCAGTTAATCTAGTTGATCTCCTGTTTCCTAAATTTAATAATCATCTGATTGACTGATGTACTTAAGTGTCCTCCCCAGCATCATGACTCAGATTTTCCTGGAAAACGGGCCTTGAGAACAAGGAAGCGTACCTGGAACTTTTAACAACCAACTCACACAACTGACCACGTTTGAGAAATGTTGAAAACTGAGGCCAAAAGGAAAGTGGGTTGCTAAAGTTGAAACTGGAACACAGAATCTCAAGCAAGTGCTTTTGCTGCCGCACTAGTCTCAATGGAAATGAGACAACTAGAATAGAGGTTGGAGAACAATTCACAATACTCACAACAAGTTCCAGAAAGTGGACTCTAACAGAAGGGATTATTTAGAGTTAGTGCTGGAGAACAGTCCCGGATCAGCAAAACAGGTCCTAGAAAACAACATACCCAGATGTTTTGTGAGGCATACAAACCAGGTCAGACTAAAACACCGGCCATAAGGTATCTTTTCTGACAACCTAGCTGCTACAGAGGAAGCCCGTTTTCCTTGTCTTTCCCTTCATTTGCCTTCTAAGACC